AAATCATAATTGCATAATCTCAAGAAAAAGGGTTCGCAATCCCTACATAGGGTTCCAACAAAATCCTAGATTAAAAACTTAGCTACGCATGTTCGTTACGAAAAACATAATAAAAATACGAAAAATCATAAAACTATAAATAACAATAAAAGAGGAGAACTATGATGAAGATTCGTCAAGTCTTCGTCTTCGTTCTTGTGCTCCTTGATTGCGTGTAGAAAGATTAAAAATAAAAACCCTAAAGATTAAAGATGAAAAATAAAAGATAGATCTAATTGTGTGCTCTTGGCCTTTAAATAGGGTGCAAAAATATAATAGGGCGGGTTTCCTTGTGTAATTAAAATTCTTTCACTGCGCCTTCACGTCCATCCGGACGGCCGTGTGAGATTGAGAACTAAAATCCGCACGGCCGTGCGGTCTTTTAATTCTCCAGAATTCTGTTTTTTTTCACTTTTGGCCCACTTTTTCTCCGAAATTGCAGTTTTCACCCCAAAAGTTGTCAATTCTCCAATTTGCACCTAAAATACAAATAATAGCCATTTTAAGCACCAATTATCATTAAAACACACCAAAAGCTCCAATTAAAAGGTACAATTAAGTGTATAAATATACACTTAACAGCTTCTCTATTTGATTTGTATTATTTGGTATTTGTTTCGATTTTTTAGTTTGAATTCTTTTATTACTTTTTTATCTGCGAACAGAACAAACCCTCTGTCTCCCTTTTCACTTCTGCATGGCTACTCTGTGATATAATAAGTTTTAAAAAATATAATACTTAGCGGTTCAATACTTCCAAGTTCCAAGCATCTATTATTAATAACTATATTCAGTATAATTTTCACTAACAAAAAATATAAAGTATTGAATTAATTCAATATATAAACAAATGCATGACTTAATACAAACTCACTTATGATATTAAAATCGATAGTGTGAACAATACGAATGAAGAATAAAATAAGATAATTATTTAATAAAAAAAAGATTATAACTCATTTCAATTAATTTAAATTGATTAACCTCAATTAATGACAATAACTTATTAAAATTACTGATTATTTTATCACAAAAATAGTAAAATATAATTCGTAAAAATCATAAGAATAAATCTTTTAATCCTAAGATTTGAATCGGTTAAACCCAAGTTCTTTCAATCCGTAAGTTTTATTCAAGGATTTAAATTAATTACACTCAACTATTGACAATGACGTATTAATCAAAATATGATAGTTGTGATACTATATATATAGCGTTCTATTTTAACATTTATAATTTATTAAGGACACTAAAATAACTATATCATTTATAGATAGATATGTAGTTGATACGGCACATCATTTTCTTCTTATATTGAACAAGAAACTGAGTTCGAAGCATGTTTGAAACAACAATCTTGGATAAATAACCGACGGAGAAAACGAATAACAATTGGATGGAGATTCTGTTTTAACTTGGAATTGAAGAAACGAAAATGGATCGTTTAAATTATCCTAAAAATTGTGACTAAGGAAAGCAATATAATATAAGTAGTAGGTACCAATACTCGGAGATTTCGGTTTGGCATTATATTCAATGGCAGTCTCCAAACATCAATTCCGGCAATATATCGGACAATATTTCCTTAAGCTTCGGCTCGGCTTCCAATGCGACGCGGGGATTCACTTTCTTTTGCCTTTTTACCCCTTCCAGTATTCCTCCATCCGCGGGGAAGGTGAATATTATTTTGCAATATAATTTGTATGTAGATGGAGGAGGATGAGAAAGCAAAATGCAGCAACAAGAAATATATAGGGCAAATCTGTGGGGACAAAAATGACATTTCACTAATGGGATCAAATAATAAAAAAATAAAAATTAAGAAAAAGACATGACGCCAAAAGTTTACAGAACCCTCTGAGCTTAGGAAGGATGAGCTAATTTTTGCTATTTTAAATGTTGCTTTTATTTGGGTTACAATACAAATGCGGGATTAAGAAACCAAACGAAAGGCATGAATCTCTCTCTCTCTCTCTCTCTCTCTCTCTCTCTCTCTCTCTCTCTCTCTCTCTCTCTCTCTCTCTCTCTCTCTCTCTCTCTCTCTCTCTCTCTCTCTCTCTCTCTCTCCGTGTTCTAGTTTACAAATCAATCGGAAAATCTATAAAAATACAGAAGATAATTGTTTACGAAATCACAAACAAGGAAGATTAGGTAGTTATTCATTTTCACGATTTGACGATGGAAGATTAGAAAGTACATAACCCTTGTGGTCCATATATATGATAGATATTAATGCACTATGTCTATATATATAAACCAAGTTGTACGTATAATTTCTCTCCCACTATTATATTATTTTCTCAATTCCATCCAAATTGTTTTGCTTGCTTTTCGTAATTAGTTGACGGCGGCAGATAATACTCAATATGTGTCTTCATTCTCTCTCTCTTTTAATGCTGGTAATCATTCATTAATTATTAGTACCTTTATTTAGACTATATATAATAATTTGATTTTCTTTTTCATTCTTTCTGAATTCTATCTGAAATTTGTTTATATTTGGTTGCATTGTCTCAGAATTAAACGAATAGAAACAAGCTGTGATCTTTGCTATCTCTTACCTCCTTTGCTGACACTTGAGTTGTCGAGGGCACGTTGCGTTCATTGCCGACATTGATTAGCCGTTACGAACTCGTCGAAAAGTTTTTCAAACAACAAGCGCGGTACGTAACCTTTTTTTTTTCCTTCACTAAATAATGTGCATTAAGAATTTTCACCTGAATATATGGAGTAACATAATATTTAGTAATCTATGTGTTCGTGTAAGTCAATATGCTTGTGTCAATGTAGTATTTTGTATGCTAATTATGTGTTGATTTATCTGTAAATTATTATTATCATAATTGGTTTGCTGCATGTGTGGGTTTGTTCACTTATTGTATAAAGGGGCAAAATTCATTTTCATCCCTGACTTTTTACACTAAATTCAAATTATTGCTAGTCTTTTTCAATTCACTCACATCAATTTCATCCCATAATTATTCTTTAAACAATAAATCATGATTAAGAAAATGGATTTGAATGGAATAACCCTGAATCCTACATTTCTATTTCACTACTACTATATACTAATAATAATAACAATAACAACAACTATTACAATTAATTTATTTGAGTAGAATCTTATAATTTTACATTAAATTAGTTGTGTCCAATAAATTTTATATTTATTTTGCCGAATACTTTATACATATTTAGTTCACTCAATATTATATATTTAACTAAATTTATTTCTTCACAATGAGATTGAACACCTCGACATATTCGTTTAAATTAAGCTTTTATTTAGAAATAAGTAACTTAATAATTATGATCTTGAAACTACATCTATTTTACACTTCAAAATTTAAAATAACTTTAACTGAGTTACTTTTGTATAATATTTAATATTTATTTTTCTTCATATTATCCAATTATTTTTATTTAACTGAATACTTTTTTCACAAAAATTAAGTTAGTCAAAAATAAAAAAAAACGGATGAATAAGAAAATATAGACTACTAAGAAAACCTAATTAGATATACAAGATATATCCACAAAATTATAATTAATTAAGTTATTTATAATTTGGATGATATTATATTGTAATGAAAATTTTGGGATTACTTTGTGTTTTAAAAAGTAGAAAATGAATATTGACTTGGTGAAATTCAGAATATTATATATATATATATTTTTTTTTAAATGCATGATTTTGCTTATGGCTGAATAGTTAACATATTGTTTTAAGTGTATTTTGGTCATACTGTATCATTTTAACATAAATGTATTGCCAAAACGTGATCAATGAAACTGAAATTAATTGAAAACACAAGGACTAATTTGATTTTGGAGGGAAAAGTCAGGGGTCAAAAATAATTTTACCCTATAACTGAAATTAATTGAAAACATGCGCATATCTGTTCTGTTTCACTTCATTTGATTTTCCTTTTCCTTTATTTAATTTCATTTTTACAGAAAAATATTAAAAAGTCCTATTTAAAAATTCCTATTACCAAAAAATTCAAAAATTTATTATTGTATCTAAAAAGTTCCAAAATTAAAATATTAATACTAATTAGCCAATTAGTAAATTTTAACTAATCCTATTAAACTATTTTATTTTAAGGACTAGATTATTCTTCAATATGTATAATAATTAAATCATCTTCCAATTTTATATTACTTGTGACTTCGGACAAAAATATTTATTTGTATTATATATTACATTATGCTAATTTTGATAATGAATTAATTTTTTTTTATGTTGTTATCCTTAATCTTATTACCATGGAATTATTTCACACAAAATTTCATTATCCAATAAAGTAATTTATATGGAGAGAATTAGGGAGATAATAAATTTTGTTATATTTCTCTTGTATTATATCACATTATAATAATTTTAATAATGAATTAATTACTTTTTTTTTTATATATTTTTATCCTTATTACCCTTGAATTATTTCACACCTCGTGATTAATTTTGTTATAATTATTTTCCTAAAAATCATTCATATTTATGAACCCTTTTTAATATTCACGTTGTAGCCTGAAAGTTAATTATTTTAAAAGAGAATTGGCGATTCGTAATAATAAATCATGATTATATCTTTTTTTAGCCGAAAATTAATTAATTTAGAATGAATGCTATCTAAGAATAATAGTAGTTAGGTTTCTTTTATTATGAATTCTGAATTATATATTATATTTAATGGACGATAATACAACCCACTAATTAAATTTAATATGATTAATTGAAAGTAGATTATTTGGACAATCTAGTATTTGATTTTTTGATTTGGGGACTTTTCGGATAGAAACTATTGTTTGGGATTTTTTGGATGTATGAGTTTTTATATGGGACTTTTTGGTATTTTCTCCTTATTTTTATTTTATTTCCCCAATATTAATTTCTGAAATGTTGGATTTAACTCTTTTTTTTTTTTTCTTAAATTAAAGGTTAGAAATACTCTAAGCTAATGCCTACTGTGTATTCCATGGATGAAATGATCCCTCCATATTTTTCAACATCAAGTACTGATTATGATGATAATAATACATCACCCTCTTTAATCGACATCCACGTAGATGTCGAGGAATTATCCCCTACGCCTGTTCCAGCTACACCAGCTAGTTATTATCATCCATCGTTAACACAAAGTAGTAATGTTGATTTTGTTGCTACCCCCAACTTGTCTTCCTTCTCCCTTTCTCAAAACTCTTCCGTTATCGCATTTCCACCATCTGAAATCAACATGTCACAACCATCAAACAACAACCACCACCCGAGATTTCGGCCGTCTGTCGTCCTAGCAGCAACAACGGGCTTCATATTAAGTATCATAATAACAACTACGTTGTTGGGGGCCCTACTGCTTGTCATTAACAAGAAAGGAAAAACGAATAGCAATATTTTTCTTGGGTGTGAAATAACCGTTTCAGTTTCGAAGGATGGGAGTAAGTCCAACTTCACAACTGTGACCGATGCAGTAGAAGCATCCCCAAACTATAGCCAGCTCAAAGTGTGCATCCACATCGGAGAAGGGGAATACAACGAAATAGTCATGATTGGTCACGAAAAGACCAATCTCATTTTGATTGGAGAAGGAATTGGGAAGACAACTATATCTTCAAATGCATCCAACAAATATGGATCACCGGCAGCTGCAACATTAAGTAAGGCACACTTTTATCAACTTCAATACTTCTCTCTTACGTACAAATTTATATTTATATACATAAACAACATTATTAATGAAAATATTATGCGCAGGTGTAACTGGGGGTGAGTTCTTGGCTCAAGACATGACCATCACAAATGGAGCACTACATAATGGAGTTGCGGTTAATAACTCGGGCCGAGCTTCGATCTTTTTCAGGTGTAAACTTGAGGGAGTAGCTGATGTGACTCTGAGTGTAGGTGGGGATCTACAATTCTACCGCGAATGCCATTTTTATGGTAAAGAGAATCTGATTGTGGGACTGGCTCGTGCCTTCTTCCAGAAATGCCAGTTTTACCTTGAGAAATCACATCCACAAGGAAAGATTGTGTTCTCCAGTCAATCTTCTTATATTTTATCATACAAATTTGGCTTCGTATTTCACCTTTGTGAATTTTACGTCGTAAATAAATCAGAAACGGAAGTAGAAACAGCTTTTATAGGGAGTTCGTTGGGAAATTACGCATTTTACGTAATTATGGAGTCGTACTTGGATCCAGCTGTAACTGGATACTTCATCGGTACTCCCCCAAACGTTACCTACTATGCCACTTTTCGCAACATAGGACCTGGTGCATCAAAGGCAAATGTACCACATTTTGTTCATGTACTCGGAAGTGTGGAGGCTGCTTCCCATTATTCCTTGAGACGATTTCTAAACGGAGGTAATTGGATAACCAAAGCGGTTGACTACGATTTAGATATAGTGAATTGACAATTTGGAATTGATCTCTGACATTCATTTAATATCCTTTAAAAGTACATGAATAATATATTACAATGAATGTTCGCATCTCCTCTCTTCATTTTGTGAACTCCAATGAATTAGTTCTTAGTTATTCAGAATATATGAAGTGAAATAAAATAACACCACATATATATATATATATATACACACACACGACACTTTTATTTCCCGACGGTCGGATATTTTGAAAGACCCTGGACGATATGTAAACCATTTCATGACATGTAAATACCGCCAAGAAACAAATTTTAAGAATAAAAATTGTTTATTTGGACCATACAAATGGTGTGGTAATTACTTTTTTTGTATTGTAATAGCATAACTTTTAATTCAAAAAAGTTGTAGTGTCCAATATCTTGTAGACAATATACTGTCTACATGGATTAATTTTTGATTGTTCTATTTTCTCCGGTTCAAGAATAGGAGCAAAAGTCGGTGAACGTACGAGATTTGTTGCAAACAAGTTGAACAAGACATGCACCATCCCAAGGTTTGTGTTTTGCCTGCCAATTATAGGAGAGTGAGTATCTTTGTTGGATGCACTATTGGATTCCTATCAGTTTCTTTTATGAAGAATTATTGCGGCCTATTGCAAATTCAAATTTCCCAACTTCCCTGGAAATCCTTGTCTGAAATCAAGGACCAAAGAAAGCACTCTTCAACGTTCAATCACTTTTGGTACTTATGTGCGCTTTGTACGTGTACGTCTGTTCTTTTTTCGTTTGCAAACGTCTTTATGTGGTCTTTCATTTTTTATTTGGTTTTATTTCATGAATACATTGACCTTACATGATTGAATGTATGGCGGTGACCTACGATGTCAGATCTTCTGATGATAATTATGTTGCCTCCTCCGTCAACTGCACTCGTACAAGCTTAAGAATGACTCTAGTGCAAATGCTTGCGGCATGGCTCTCAAGACAGCCTACTAAACCATTATCTGATTGTTTTGGTTGAACCTCGGATTCTCTCTGCAGTTCGTCAAATCTTTTCCGAATCTTTTTCAAGAAGCTCGTGTGGTATTGCCTGAAAAAATCTGTAAGTGTGGAACCGGAATGCAATTTCTGTTTAAGTGAGGCATTCATTGATTCCGCACGTTTTGTGTTCCTCACAATAGCAAAGAATTGGCCCCGAAAAAATGAATATGCCCATTGACTGCGTTTTTCGTAAAGATCAGTTAGGTATGGATCGTCTGTAAGACCAAATTTAGCAATCAATGCAGACCATCTATTCGAATTAGGGTACGAAGCAAGACATATTCATTAAATTGGAAAATTGTGTCGAGAAGACCGAATTTTTTGTAGTTGATTCCACATTACTCGAAATATGCAAGCAACGAAGCCGATGGGCTGCTTCAGGAAACACAATCCTAATGGCTGCGCGCATTGCCCCGTCTTGATCTTTCAAAACAGCTTTGGGTGGCTTTTCTCCCATGAATTCTTGCAAAATTTGTAGCAACAACGTGTATTGTTGAGTCATCTCCATGTACATAATAGCAACTCCAAAAATACATATGCGCAAATGGCAGTTGACTCCGGAGAAGGACACTACTGGAAAACAATATATGTTGGTCTTGTAGGTGTTGTCAAATAGTAAGACATCACCAAATTCCTCATACACGGCTTGATCGATACCGTGTTTGTATTCGAGTGTTGTATCTTTCAACTTCATCCCGCCATGTAGACCCAACAAAGTATACACAACCCCGATTCAATCTATTTCAACCTTTCACCGTTCAGCTAGTTGTACGCGTCATTCCTATTCAATATGTCTATTGCACTGCCTCTACCAAGATATTCCAAAAGATCCAGAACTTGACTAGGTTTGCACCTAAATATGGGTCATCGTATCCAACATTATCTTTGTTGCTGGGTCAATATTATGTACTAAATTTTCCAACAAACATGGGTACATTTAAATGAATTTGATGTGTAAATTTCAGGCCAACTAAAATTTTCAATACAACCTAAGATAGAATTACCTATTGCAACGAAGAATATGGTTGGTATTAGAGGTTTTCATACTGTGATTATGTTTGGGCTCGAAGGCAGTCGCTATATATCTCCCAGTAGAACGATTGAGAGCAACACGAAATAAAGAACGACATTCACACCGCATCTCTGGTCTATGACCACGCAAATCGATCGCTTTCATTAATTCTCTCCATACGGTGGCCCTCTCGAGAGCAAACACATACCCTATTCAAAATGATGTCGCCTATCCTTTTCATAGGATTCTTGCGAATGTCTAATCCAAAGCGTTGCGCGAAACTTTGATAATGCGTACCTGCTTCGTTTGCATCAACAAATGTTAATGTTGTAAATCGTTGAATGAGTTGCAGACTTTCATCGTTTGTGTCGCAATTGTTCCCTTCCCGGTTTGAAGTCGAAACACTTTCTTCCGCCTTAGTTGACGAGGCTGGATCTTTCTCGCCGCTATTGTGCTCTAATTCATCGCCGCCATTGTACTCTAAATTGAATAATGCAATTAATCCTAATCAAGAATATTTCGACAAACCCCTAATTATTCAAATAATAGCACCTTTGTAAATTGAAAATTTTCGACAATAACCCAACAAATTCAATTAATGAGATACATGATTTATCAAAATTCAACATCCCTAATGCAACGGTTATTTAGCCGAGAAATGTGGAATTACAAGTCGTCAAAATTCTCGTCAAAATTAGAAAATGTGAACGACAGGAGTGGGAGAGAACTGTTTAAGAGATGAAGTCATATATGGATAATAATGTCATTTCAGATAAGTTTGTTTTTGGACACATGGCGGTCATTGACACCCTACCTGACCTCAGACATATTTTAGCGAGTGGACGCTAGAAAGGCCCTAGTTGGTTTGAGGCAAACAAATAGAGTTACAACTTTCATGTTTTGCATTTTTGAAATTCGAACTGGATCATTGTCAAAATTCAAATAAACATCTTCAAAACAGAGAGTGAACTTTCGAAAATAGAGTAGACAATTGAGGTAGTGCACCAATTTATACCTATTTTATCTCAAGTGTTTAATTAAATTTTAAATTTCAATCATTCAAGTTTAGAAAATCCAACAAAATAAAGTTATAACTTTCATGTTTTTCTTTTATGAATTCAAATAAGATCAGTGTCAATAAAAATGGGGAACTTTTAAAAATTGGGCGTGTTTTATTCATGGAATTTTACCAAATAAAAAAAATGTGGGGTATTGTTGTAATATGAACATGTAGAAGACTTTTAGCAAAATAAAAAAAAGAAGCTGGTCATTTTTACTAATACAATTCAATTCTAGGGACTTTTAGCAAATTGCACTAAAGAAATAAAGATTACGTAATATGTTTACCATATAAAAAACTATATCATGAAGAGAGATTTAATGGAAAATAAAGATTACAATTTACAAAATATAGTTACCATACATACAAAAAGTTAATAGTGAACAACGAACAAACGCATGACATTTACTCTTCCTACACGAGACAATCTACAATTAAGATTATGAAGATTTATGACCATAATTAGCAATTATATCCAAGATAAAAAAAATCTATATATATAAGACTCTCTAAACCATACCATACCAAGCAGAAGACATAAAACTGTTGAATAATTGATATGTCATAATTGTGAGGTTTACACATAATAATTAAATAAAAAGATGGATGGTTTTCTTCGGTGCAATTGCTTTTCATACGCGTGCCTCTTGTCGTTGAACATGCTCTTAATTATCAATGCAGTGCTTGCAGGTAGTACTAATTATGTGGAACTTGTTTGTTCCAAGGATTCGGACCAAGCTTTTTGCAGGAGCATTCTAACATCGGATCCTCATTCCCAGAACGCAAACTTTACCGGGTTGGCGAACATTGCAATAACCTATGCATCCCGGAGTGCCAATGCTACTGCAGCAAAGATTCAGTCCCTCTCGCGGTTGGAAAAGGATCCACGACGCAAAGCGAATTTCGCGGCATGTGCTACATACTATGAAGGAGCTATTGATTCTCTGACATATGCATCGGGAGATTTAGCGAGTGGACAATACCTTCTACTTAATTTAGACGGAGGGCGTGTGAATAGCGAAGCTATTTCTTGTGAAAATATGTTCAAGAGTCGATCCCCACTTACAAGGGAGAATTATCTCTTGGCGCAGCTCGGTGAAATAATTGTAATTATTTCAGATAAGTTAGACCCTAGTGGCGCATAAACGTCGAACTTATAAGCTCCGGCCTGTTCAATAAATTGTTCGAATAAAACTTTGATTTCCATCCAACGCGAAATTATTGAAGAATATATGAAGATCTATGAATATCAAATTTATCTTTTAGATTAATGTTTTCCTAAATAAAAAAAAATATTGACAGAAAAAATTATACAGGCCTTGGCAAGCTATCATTGTATAAAACGACATTAAATCGTCCCGCAAGGGATGGCCTAGCGGTTGGAGCAAGTGAGCATGTGTCAATTGACCCATGTTCAAATCTCCTAGCCAACGGTTGCTGGGTCGAGCTTGTCACACATGGTACCCTAGTATAGTTTACATCTCTCATATACAGTAGAACCTCGATAAATTAATACTCGATAAATTAATAATCTCGCTTAAATAATAAATTTTCCCGGTCCCGACTCGGGGACAACGTGCTAAATTAATAATTCGCTAAATTTATAAGATAATACACATTCGAAAATTTTAAGAAGCCCCATATAATATATAAATTAATAATTCATAAAAATAATTCTTAAATTACATGGTACAATACATATTTTATAGATCTATGAAGGTTTAATAAAATATAATTTCATTGCCCTTTGTTTTTGTTGAAGTTCACATTACCACCAATCTCGTGTCTCACTTTTTTTTAACATGGTTAGAACCTCTGTTATAGCTTTCGCATAAATCAACATGAAATTGTTCAATAACATCGCTGCTTTAAGAGCTTCCGCTCGTGAAGCGGGCTCTATAGTGCGTTGAACTAATGGTACTATAAATAATATACGCGTAAAAAATTTAAAAAAATTATATTTATTGAAAATAATAATAAAAATAATTTCATAAATTAATAAATTATTAATTAATGTATAAATTAATAATTATTAATTTATCGATAAGTTAATATTTCGCTAAATTAATGAAATTTTGATGGTCCCAACTGTATTAATTTATAGAGGTTTAACTGTAGTTTACAAGCTATTACGAAAGTGTAGGTTTAGCCAGTACACCTATATGGTTGGCTGCGTGTTCCTTCATTACCAAAAAAAAAAAGCGACATTAAATCCAAATAATTACCTTAAAAGTATCTCCAATGGAGTAAGCAAATCGGGTCTTCAAATTCTGTTTTGGAGACCCGGTAGAATTTTCGAGTCTCTAAAAAAAATATTCCACAATGAGGGCTTTATAATTTTGAGTCTCTAAATTTATTTTACGTTTTTTTTTTATATAGTAATGTGATTAAATTTTAAATTTTATTGATCCGTGAGGTTTTAGATAATTAATTTATATTCCATCAGTCAAAATTACTTTTAATACACATTTTGATCAAAAAATAAAAAAACATCTGAAAAGATATGATATATGTCCAAATATAATGAGAAAAAAATATGAATATACAAATTGATCACTGCCATTAATTATATTATCTACATTGCTATTAAAAAATATTCAAACAAATGAAATGACAAAATATTGACACACATATATGTTCAAGTATAATGAAAAATAATAAATACAATTTTTTTTAACTATATAAATATAATACAATTTTAAATATAAAATAAGCAACCCTTAAAAACTCGGAAGGAAAAAAGAAAAAGAAATAAAAAGTGTAACAGCCCGCATTTTCATTAGCATTTATATATGATTATATTGAATATATAGTAAATACGAATATAAGTGCATTTCATGAATTGAGTAGCAATTTATACGTTCTCTATGTGTTTATGTGATTTAGATACATTATAGTATTTTTAGAAGTAGACATTATTATTAATTGAGTATTTGATTCTAATTATGTGATTTAATGAATTAAGTGACCATCTATGTAAGTCATGCTAATTGGGATTGTATATGTGCATATATATATATATATATATATATATATATATATATATATATATATATATATATATATATATATATATATATATATATATATATATATATATATATATTATGCTAATATATAATATATGATGTGGACTTAATTATGTATGTTATATTATGTGAATGTGTATGTTTATGATATGACATATTATATGTACTAGGATTTATTTATGTGTGTGTATGTATGTATGTTATATGTGCATATTTATTTGATGTACATGTATGTGACATACATGACATAGGACCCCTCTCTCTCTCTCTCTCTCTCTCTCCCCCTCTGTCTCTCTCGGTAAGAGCATAGAAAAATCCCACACAATTTCTCTTCTATTATTTTAATATTATTTATGTATAGATGTGTATATGTATAGGTGTTGTGTGTGCATGTGCTTTGTGCTTTGTGGAAATGTCGTGTGTATAAGTTGAGTGTGTTGGGTTTGTGGTGAGTTTCCAAGTGTCCATGTCTTCCTAATTGCTATCTACACCCCCTTGTTTTCAATATTGCAAGTAAGTCCCTCTACTTTCCTATAAATAGCCTCTTCCTCTCCACCATTTTCAGCACACAAACACAAGCCAAAATCCCTCATTCTCTCCCCTCTATCTCGTCCAAACACTCCCCAAATGGAAGAGTTCATCTTCCACTTCAAAGCCTTGAAGATTGTCCATAAAAGTCTCTCTTTTTCTCTTCTAAAATCATCCCAAAATGCCACTTTCTCCCTAATTTCGGGATTCTCCTAATACCTTCAAAGAAATAGTCATATAATCTATCAAACCTCAGCCCCAAAACTCTCCAATACCATCCATGTCAAGCCCAAAGATTTTCAAGCCGAAACTCCATTGATCCTTGGTTTCCTTTCTTTCTTAATCTTTGATTTTCATGGGTAAGGACCTCTTGGTCTTTACTGAACTAAAATCATATAATTAAATGATCTTTATGTGGTTTTATATGCTCTATGTTTATGGTTTTATGTATATAGAAGCATAGAAGATATAAATCTAGAATTTAGATACAAAACACAAATGGATTTTCAGATCTCCAGCCTCGGAGATTGCTGCATGTTTCACAAATGATCGGATTTGTAAAACACACGAAATTTCATGGGTAACTAGATCTTTCTGTTCTATTTAATTTGATTCATCAATCGGATTTCAGATGATTAAGATATGAATTATTTACTAAACCTGCACAGTTTTTGAGTCAGCTGAGAATTTGCTTTTAAAATCGATGTTTTCCTTGTTTGATTTCCTTGATTCCACTTGGAATATATTTATAACTTATAAAACCAGTTGTCTGCAAAGTTTTATAGTGTTTTAACGAAAGTTTGATTTATTGGGTATTTTTAAAGTGGCTGGTTCTGTTTCAGAAAGTTTGTTTCTGAAAGTGTGACCATGCTACTGTACTGTTTTACTTATTTCTCTTAGGGCCCTTTTGGTTCGGTAGTTTGGATAGATAGCTATTGATGGGATATGTAATACTGGGACTAAATTGTTGATTCACAGTGATTAATACTTCCTTTGGTTGGAGTTATACACATGAGACTAATAATCCCTGACAAAAAAAAACATGTTTTGTTTGGCTGATTTTAGGGATTAATGTGTGTTAATTAGTAAAATTACTGCATTGCCCCTAAAATATCATATTTTATATCATCTTCTTCATCCTCTTTACTTTAGAGAATCTCCCCCTTTTAAATACGTTGTGCACCGATGAATCTATCTCCACACCCTATGTTCTCACTGACTTATTTTGTTTTCTCTCACAAAGCTTGTTGATCGATTGTTTGTCGTTGTATTCTAATTTCTCCTCATGAGCTCTGGGAGTACTACTTCGCGATGGAGTTCGAGAATCCGTCAAAACGGAGGTTTCGATTCAACTGGGCAGCAACAAGATCTATGTCAGTGCGGAAACCGAACATCTTATGTAGTCCAATATTGATAGCCGGCCGGCCTAATACAGAGACTCCAAACGAGCAAATGTTTACTTAAATCTGCCCTATATGTACACTCGATATCCATCAAACATGTCACTGAACGTATTTTTGTTCGAAAATACGAAAGAGAAAAAAAAAGGGCCCAAAACTTCCGAAAAATAAAGCAATACCGAAGATTCATAGAAAGTAAGATTTTACCCGTGAATGGTGATGGAAGAAGTCGCCATACGAACCATGCTTTGTACCAGCTTCATCCGAACGAACAATTTTCTCTACATGTAAGAACATGGAAAAGAGAGGCTCGATTAATAACCTGCGTACTGTTGTAAACCGTAAATGGTGTTTTTTTATTATTTTTCTTGCAAGAACGGCATATAACGTACGGAGCAGGTAATTGTTAATGTACATGGAACGAAAAAAAAAAAAAATCAAGTGAAAATATAAAACAAGCATCTCTAAAATGAGAATAAGAAAATACAGTAATTCGAGGTTTAATTGTTACCAAGAACAACGTAACACAACTAATTCTAGCTATTAAAGCTGCTGGCTAATCAGCTATTCACTACAATCCCGTACGAAGTATATAGCTCTACCACCATATTTTAAGTGGATTGACCATGGCCTCCAAATTACAATCAAACCTTTGCAAATTAATATACTTTGGAACTAGCAAAATTTATTTATTTAGCGAATATTAGTTGGTATAGAATTTAGATGAACCATTAGATAACGAAGGCACTCAAGAACTGGAAAATAGAACCACATAGTTGTATTATTATAATGACTACATGTAAAATATCTCTTTCACTACCATGAAAATAAATAAAAACAGATTTAGCGAAACATTAATCGATCGATAAAATTACTATCTATTAAATGCAGAATTTGAATCATTAGATAACGAAGGCACTTCGAACGGAAATTGTCAAAACAGATCCTTCGAACGGAGGTTTGGAGCCGGACCCGTCCTCTTCTTCGATTCTATTTGCCAAAGTACAAACAATTTTTGGGCATTTTAAGAAGTTATTGAACGGATTAAACCCTAAAACAAACAACAAATCTAAAAATTGAAAAGACGATGTAAGATCAGATTTCTTACCTGGGAGGCTAGGGCTGCATCTGCGAGGAGGAATCAACTGATTTATTGAGTATATATATCGATTATTTTCGTAATTTAAGAATAAATGAGGGACATTTTCGTCAATTCACATGGGTCAAAAAGTGGGATCATATAAATGATATACTATCAAGTCAAATTTGGGTGGATAATTAATAATTCAATTGGTTGATTAAAATGGTGGGGCCATTAGTCAAGGACGGGAAATCATCTGAACCAAACATTGTACCCAGGAGTACAATTCATCACATCCTGCTAATAATGCAAACCAAAGATGCCCTTAGGCTACTGATTATTTTGGAAAACTGTTTTCAAGGAGTCTTTTCCACTGATACAGGAGTATTGTGTTAAAGTTTCAGAATTTTTGAAGTTATGGTCTAAGAGAAATGCATTTTTGAAGTTAAAGTGTCAAAACTGTCCGATTTTTCTACAGGTAAACTACTTGAATTAAAGGGTCCTTTATGAGCATGGTTTAAACTCTTGAGGCATAACTTAACATAATAATTGAACATAGATGAAGTTTTCTGTGACTATTGAGCTACATCTAAGAAATATTCTTAGACTACTCTATGATTAGAACAGTAGGTTGTTCTTCGAAATTACTATGTGCTAGTACTTACAATGAATTTGATTTCCGATGATTCTTTAAATAAGAAAAATTGAATTTCATTATGTGTATTTGAATTACGTGGTTTACTCTTGAGAGGTATAAGTATGTATATATATAAGTATATTTATATGTGTATCGATAGTTTAGACCTATGACGTTATTAGCGTACTCCCTTCGGGTTGAGGAAACTTATAACCCATAATTATAAATTAGAGTATATACGTATATGTATAAGTATATAAATACGTATAAGTGCCTATGTGTATATACGTGTACAAGTATATGTGTTCTTTATTACTAATGTTTGATCTATATGTGTTTACTATAGCCTCGGAAATTACTCCTGACTTATGTGATTTAATTCCTTCGAATTACGTGAATGCTATAATTGGAATTATTATCGTGTTGCTATTAAGATCTTTGGCTTGTGTGCATTCATCAAGTCATTAATTGGTATTGCATGGTCTACTATAGAAGAGTAAAAATTGTAACATTGCTACGGTTGAATATACACGGGATACGGGGGGCCGGTATCCCAACAACAGTTACTATAGAACAACATGGTGGTTAGCTCCCACCGAATGACTAGGCTCACCATACAAACGTCTATTGCCGATGCTTACGTTAGGGTTTTGATGGGGATCCCAACATGTGCATACTTGCATACGAAAGATTTTAAAAGAAAAATGATTTTTAAAAAGAGTGTTTAAAAAAGGGGGTTTTCGTTCTAAAAAGGGGAACTTCGTTGAAAGGGATATTTTGTCCAAGACGAGTTCCAAAATGAACTAAGAAATGATTTCTATAGGAAAACGAATCCCAACATGATTTTCAAAGTGAATTTCAAATGGCTTTCAAAGCAAAACCATACTTTTTTATTATGTGCTCCTATGTGAAGTTATATGTTTAAATTATTTGTGACGTGATTATATGTCGTGATTAACGTCGATGAAATACTATAACATAATACAATTATGAAGTAAAAGCCTTAGACAGAAAAAAACATAGACAGGGACTTTAGGATTCCCATAGGTCGTGAGTGACACGTTGAGAGAGGCGTGAGTTTCGTCAGGCCAACGTCCTTACTGAGCCAGTGGTTGGGCTCACGCTTTTCTTTATATTCCCTTTTCAGGTTGTCGTAACAATTAGGAGGCCGGCGGAGTGGAGTTCGAGGAATCGCTAGCCTTGGTGCCTTGACTGTTTTACCCTGATTTTTACCACGTCAACGATTTCTTAAAATATCTAATCAAGATATCATTTTTGTACTCTGATTTCGGGACCCAGTTTATTAAACGGGGGTATCTTAAATAAAGCTTGTTTTTCCTTCCGCTGTCTTACGAGTGTTTTTTTCTAAACCCCGGTGATGTTTTATGTGGACTCTTCCGCCACATCAAGATTAATTTCAAAATACCGTTCATGTTATGGTACACTCTCTTTGAAAAATATTATTTTCTGATTGTGGGTTAAATTAGAAGTAAAGGGAAATGCTTCTATAATTTTAAAGCGGTTTTCTCAAAGTTCAAATTGGATCCAAGAGTTTTTAATAAAGTCCGTGTTTCTTAAATTTCTATTAAATCATTGAGGGTGCTACAAACTCTCTGTAGCACCCCCCTCGGGTCGGGCGATAAATCGAACCGGTTTATCGGAAAGCTTTATTTAGCGGAAGGAAAAATGGATCTCTTTGTAATTTTAAAACTTTCGAGTAGGACCAAAGTGTAATTTCTAAAAATCTGTTTTTGGGTCATTGGAAAACTTTTGGAAAACCTTGAGAATTTTCGAAAACTCCTTAGGATGATTTTGGTCGTTTAAATTTCTCGTTTTGAAATAACTTTGGGAAGGGAGATTATTATTCGAGTGCTACATTTATCTAACTATAGGTTTCTTTTTTTTTTTTGTTCGAGAAGAAATCAGAGTTTAAAGGTGTTTGGTGAATAGAGATTTTCGAGTAAGAAATGCAATTATCACAAATAAGCGGACCAACTATATTAATATCAAAATAAGGCCCGTACTAGGGTAAGAGTTTAATTCCCCTAACGAGGAAATATTAGAGTTTAAGGAAAAACGGAAATACGGAAATTGTTTTTAGTTTACATCACCAAAATAAAACAAGCATGGTTTATAGACCCGTCGTACAACCATCCAAAACCTCCGTCCAAGACTCCGATCCACTACTCGGTCCATTCCGGCGAGGGATTACTACTACTACCTGCAATCAAAGAAGTATCTATATGAGCTATTAAGCCTAGTAAGAAATTCGAATGGATAACGAGGTTTTAAAATATGGTTTTACGTACTTATATAATATATACAAACAAGCATCACGTCTTACCATTCGTCGGCAAACGAACACACATACAAGCACTCAATTTCATTTAAGCACATAAATCGACTCAAATAATGAAAATTACCAAATTACCCTTTTCGTGCAAATGCATGAATGAAAACATTTTCTGTTGTTCGGATCCGTGAAAAATTAACTTCAATACTTGGATGATAATCATATTATTCTGAGCCCGTTCTTTTGGTGGAATCAAACCACCCCTTTATCTATAGTAACTATGGTAGGAATACCGGCCCATGTATCCCAACTTATCCAACCCAAGCATTCCATTAACCTTTCCTTTCGTAAAATGAAATCTTGTTTTTATGCATGACCATGAGACGAATGAGACTCTAATGCAAAAACGACCTCTTACGACATCACAAATATCAATCAACGAACATACCAACAAAATTCAATTATCCACATAATATACACATACACAAGGCAATCACACACATATCATATATATATACATGTAACCACTTAAATATAACACATAATTCACCAACTTATTATAGCATCATATTATATATATATCATAAATCACACACACACACAACAGTACACACACACGGCACACACATATATATAACATGCATCCCCCAAAATACACTTTAATTAGCATTCAATTATCAAACCATGCCCTTAAAGAACCAACATTTTTATATTTTCACTAATGGGATTTCTCCCACTTTTATTCATTAAATGAACTAAAAATTCTTACAGCCCCTTAACATAGTTCAACTGCAGATTTTTAACCATAAATTCATATTCTCACAATTAATACTCAAGGCATAATGATTAAAACACAAAAGTTCCATTTATGACACATGCACAACCAATATTTCGAAATAATAGCAAATGGTATCTAAACATTCTCAAATTTAATTATAGGCTACCTAACTGACTAAATGAGCAGATGCAAAAAACATTTTGCAGTTTCCTTAAAAATCGAATTTATCAAAAATGAAATACTAAGCAAGTAGTTCAAAAGTGATTTTCCCAACAAATACCATTCCCAAATTATGACCAAATAGCACATAAACAAAATTCCACTTACTCCTACAGAGATTTTAAGGATAAAAATATTTTTCATGCTGAAACTTCAAGAAATTGCAAATTAGTCCTAAAGATTCATAGACACATGCAACCCCAAAAATCTTAAAAACTCATTTTCTTTTTCCAATATTCCCAAAATTCGAAATATTAAATCTTTAAACACAAAATGCTTGGATTCACAGATTATAATATGGATTAGACATGCAAGAACACAAATATCAAGAGTAGCACAAGATTTCGGATTTTAAACAAAAAGCGCTAATTTTTTCGAAAAGTGAGGAAATCTTTTAATTAGTTTTGAAAATCCTTTCCCATACTATGATACCCTTTAATTGCAGCAAGAAATTCGAGATTTCTTACCTATCAAAGAGTGTTGGCTGAAGAAAGAAAAAACCTTCAAAAGAAATAGGGTTTTTAGAGGAAGAAAAGGAGGATGAAGAAAATGAAGAAAACGAAGATATAATGTTACCTCCTTCAAGAAGTTGCTCCAAGATTGAACCAAGCTATTTGAATAGAGAAGATAAGAGCTTTGATATCAAGTTGGGAGGAGTTTAAATCTCCCATAAGAGGGCAAGTGTTTTTGATGGTGTTCTTGGCATATTCAAGGGTGAAGCTTATATAGGGGATTTGCATTTTGATTTCTCTATTTTTTTCTTGAAGAAATTTGATGTGGTGGCCGATGGAAGAGGTGGTGCTTCGGTGGTGATGGTGAAGGAGAGACAAGTGTGGGTGTAGGTGTAAAGAAAAGAAGAAGGAAGAGTGTCTCTTCACATTACTAATCCATATTGAGTGTTGGATTAGTGTACATCATCTATTTGGCCAAGTGTACAAGCATGCTTTATTTTCTAATAAAAAAATCACTAATCTCTCTCATACACACACAAAAACCGAACACACACATACACATATACATACACTCATATAGATATTACCTATAGTCTAGAGTTGGTTATAGCATATGCATATATGTATGCGTATATATATACGTGTATATGCATGTATTATGCCTGTCTTATTATGTTTAAATAAATTAATTATACACATAAGTCACATAATTTAATCTAGCACACAATTATCAATAATTAAACCACTTAAGCACATAATTATCGATGTAAAGTTGGCACATAATTATTCAATAAATTCCTAGCACATAGAGCATATAATCAAATCGGCATATAAGGATTATTAGTCTAAGCGAATAAGGCACTTAAAGAAATTAAGTTAGTAAGGTAAATAAATTCCTAATAATTCCTACGTGAGGATTTTCGGATTATGGAATTTTGGTTAGGGATTAGGGTTTCGAAAATGTGGAGTATTACAATCTTCCCCCCTTCAAATAATTTTGTCCCCAAAATTGTTACCTGACCCGAATAATTCCGGAAAGTGTTTACGCATTTCCTCTTCTCGTTCCCATGTGGCTTCTTCTAAAGTATGATTATGCCATAAGACTTTAACTAAGAGAATGTTTCGGTTACGTAGGGTTTTGGTTTTGTATTCGAGGATTTGGGAAGGTTTTTCTTCGTAGGTTAGGTTGGGGGTTAATTCGATAGGTTCGGGTTTTAGAACATGATCTGGGCTGCGGATATATTTACGAAGCATGGATACGTGGAATACGTTGTGGAAATTGGATAGGTTAGGCGGTAGGGCTAGACGGTAGGCTCGGGTGCCGATTTTCTCGAGAATCTCAAATGGTCCGATAAAACGAGGCGTTAACTTTCCACTTTTTCCGAATTACATTATTCCTTTGAAAGGTGCCACTTTAAGGAATACGGAGTCTCCAACTTCAAATTCTAAATCTCTTCTTCGGGAATTGGCGTAACTTTGCTGTCGATCTTGAGCGATACGCATTCTCTCTCGAATATTCTGAATTACTTCGACAGTTTGTTGGACTAGCTCTGGGCCGAGGAATTTTCTTTCTCCAATTTCATCCCAATGGAGTGGAGATCAGCACTCGCGACCGTAGAGAGCTTCGTATGGTGCCATTCCGAGAGATGATTGGAAGCTATTGTTGTAGGCGAATTCGATTAGTGGAAGTCGTGATTCCCAATTTCCTCCGAAATCGAGAATACAGGCACGTAGTAGATCTTCTAGGGTTTTGATGGTTCGCTCAGATTGACCGTCGGTTTGCGGGTGAAAAGCGGTACTAAAATTGACGCGAGTTTTGAGGGTTCCGTGTAAGCTTTTCCAGAATTTAGAGGTGAATCGAGGGTCTCGGTCGGAAATGATGGAGACTGGAACACCGTGGAGTCGCACAATTTCTCGGACGTATAGCTCTGCTAGTTTCTCGAGGCTAAAGGTCATTCGGACGTGAAGAAAATGAGCGGACTTGGTTAATCGGTCGACAATTACCCATATGGCGTCGGATCCTCTTTGGGTCTTTGGAAACCCTTGAACGAAATCCATTGTGACAGCTTCCCACTTCCATTCTGGAATCAGATTGGACTGTAGTAGACCTCCATGTTATAATCTGTGAATCTAAGCATTTTGTGTTTAAAGATTTAATATTTCGAATTTTGGGAATTTTGGAATAAGAAAATGAGTTTTCAAGATTTTTGGGGTTGCATGTGTCTATGAATCTTTAGGACTAATCTGCAATTTCTTGAAGTTTCAGCATGAAAAATAATTTCACCCTTAAAATCTCAGTAGGAGTAAGTGGAATTTTGTTTATGTGCTATTTGGTCATAATTTGGGAATTGTATTTGTTGGGAAAATCACTTTTCGGCTTCAACACTACTTTCTTAGTATTTGATTTTTCATAAATTCTATTTTTAAGGAAACAGCAAAATTCTTTTTGCATCTGTTCATTTAGTCAGTTAGGTAGCCTATAATTAAATTTGAGAATGTTTAGATACCATTTGCTATTATTTCAAAATATTGGTTGTGCATGTGTCATAAATGGAACTTTTGTGTTTTAATCATTATGCCTTGAGTATTAATTGTGAGAATATGAATTTATGGTTAAAAATTTTGGAGCTGAACTATGTTAAGGGGCTGTAAGAATTTTTAATGCATTTAATGAATAAAAGTGGGAGAAATCCCATTAGTGAAAAAATAAAAATGTTGGTTCTTTAAGGGCATGGTTTGATAATTGAATGCTAATTAAAGTGTGTTTTGGGGGCAGCATGTTATATATATGTGTGTGCCGTGTGTGTGTACTGTTGTGTGTGTGTGTGATTTATGATATATATATATATATATATATATATATATATATATATATATATATAAGTTGGTGAATTATGTGTTATATTTAAGTGGTTACATGTATATATATATATGATATGTGGGTGATTGCCGTGTGTATGTGTATATTATGTGGATAATAGAATTTTGTTGGTATGTTCGTTGATTGATATTTGTGATGTCGTAAGAGGTCGATTTTTGCATTAGAGTCTCATTCGTCTCATTTGGTCATGCATAAAAAAGAGATTTCATTTTTACGAAAGGAAAGGTTAATGGAATGCTTTGGTTGGATAAGTCGGGATACGGGGGGGCGGTATTCCAACCATAGTTACTGTAGATAAAGGGATGGTTTGATTCCACCAAAAGAACGGGCTCAGAATAATATGCTTATCATCCAAGTAAAGAAGTTAATTTTTCACGGATCCGAACAACAGAAAATGTTTTCATTCATGCATTTGCACGAAAAGGGTAATTTGGTAATTTTCATTATTGGAGTCGATTTATGTGCTTAAATGAAATTGAGTTCTTGAATGTGTGTTCGTTTGCCGACGAATGGTAAGACGTGATGCTTCTGTGTATATATTATATAATACGTAAAACCATATTTTAAAACCTCGTTATCTATTCGGATTTCTTACTGGGCTTAATAGCTCATATAGATACTTCTTTGATTGCAGGTAGTAGTAGTAATCCCTCGCCGAAATGGACCGAGTAGTGGATCGGAGTCTTGGCCGGAGGTTTTGGATGGTTGTACGAGGGGTCTATAAACTATGCTTGTTTTATTTTGGTGATGTAAACTAAAAACAATTTCCGTATTTCCGTTTTTCCTTAAACTCTAATATTTCCTCGCTGGGGGAATTAAACTCTTACCCTAGTACGGGTCTTATTTTGATATTACTATAGTTGGTCCGCTTATTTGTGATAATTGCATTTCTTACCCGAAAATCCCTATTCAACAAACACCTTTAAACTCTGATTTCTTCTCGAAACAAAAAAAAAAAAGAAACCTATAGTTAGATAAATGTAGCACTCGGATAATAATCTCCCTTCCCAAAGTTATTTCAAAACGAGAAATTTAAACGAGCAAAATCATCCTAAGGAGTTTTCGAAAATTCCTGTCTACATTAAAATTCGATTCGAAATTATTGATGGAAAATAAATAAAAACGCTATACAATTTTTTATTCCCTATTATACAACTTTTGCCGTGGGACCCAACAAATAGAAAATTTCCAAATGAAATTACATATTTAGGAAAATATTTAGGAATTTTGTGAAAATCTCTAAATTTGCATAGCCACTAGAACCCTTATTGGTGTCTCTTTTTTCTGCGGAAGTTCTATAATTTAGAGCCGAATGAAATATAGAGCCTCCATTGGGATGGCCTAAGATCACCCCAGTGTTGCTCCGTCCGTGTTTTCCGACCGCAGCATGAGAAACAATTTTTTTTTCTGAGTTGAAGAATCGAACCAACAAGAAAATTTTATAAGAGAGTTCACGTATGATGAGTCAAGATGGGTGGGCTGAGACGCTGGGTCCACCCTCACTCATTTTTT